TACAAGTGTATAATCAAGTCTTTAAAGCACGCGCAACGAGTTTAAGGGCACGACGCAAAGCGGAGTGCCTTTAACGTTGCAAGTGCTTTAAAGACCAATTATACACGTGTATCTTATAGTATTTTTTATTATACCTGCAGTATAATCTAAAAATAGGAAATACAATGAAGTCATATTGACGTTATACTTGAATACATGTCTAATTAAGTGGGCTGGGTGTTCGTAATTTCACGATTGCCATGGAAATGTCACTTGACGTTTGCTTATAAAAATCATCGTCTTGGTAAATTAAACGATTTCCATTGAAAAAAATAATACACCGTCCATTAAATCGGTTGTTGTAAAATCTAAACAAACGTTGGTAGGTGTAAAATCCAACTCCAGTAAAGCCTATTATAAAGAATATGAAAAGTTGTTTCCATGGATGAATAGGAAAGTTACTTACGAATACAGTCTTAAATGCATCCATAATGCTGGCATATATGAAGGAAATGTCAAAGGTATTTAAATCTTCTATATTTTGGTGCATTCATTAAAAACTTTAAAGCAATGCTGCGATTAAAAAGTGGAACAGATTTGGAAGCATACCCTAAATTACGCGCGTTTGTGAAAGATTCAACGAAAGGATAGGTACAAAAGCCAAAGAAATGTTCTGCATTTACAGAAAGCGACCTACGAGGATTTTTTATTTCATCCAGATGACAGTTTCAAAAGTCATACCCCAGAACAAAAAACTTAGAAGGGAAACGTAAACGGGAACAACTGAGTACAAATATAATTAGTTTGGAGAACATTCAATAGATGGCGCATGTTAAAGTTACTAAATCTAGTGACTTTAGTGCGTGTGCGCCATTATGACAGTTGAATTTTGAATTTTGATTGACGGCTTATTGTGCTTTAAGTATAATTACTATTCATTATTACAATGAATTATGCATATACAAGTCGAGAACGTAAATGTTGTGTGACAAATTGTGAAGACGTTTCCCAAAAATGGAGCCCGAAGTTTTTAAGAATTGGTTTAGAATAATGTGGAAGAAATTTACACAAAATTTTTTGGTTTGTGAACGTCATTTTTCTGACTGCGCCTTAGAACCTGGAACACGAAGAGATTTAAAGCGTGTGGCAGTTCGCACATTATATTTAGCAGGTAACACTAATTGAATTGTAATAAATTGCTACATATTTTGTTTTTAGAGCGATCTCGAGAGCATCATACAGTAGAGTTCCATGAAGTTGATCTTGTATCTTGTATAATCATATTAAATTAAATATAACTCCTTGATTGGATTAATTGGAGTTGTTACTTATAAAACAAGTGCCCTGTACTCTTTGAAGGCTCTGACTGGTGAGGTGCATCCGCATTAAACTGAATTTATTTGGATCCCTAACAAACAAAATTGGACTTCACTGGCTGGATTCATTTACTTTTTAGGTTTCAGCTAGTCAAATCCAATGTTATTGTTACAGATCCGGAGAAATTGGTATAATGCGGACGTAACTTACATTTTAATATTTAAATTTGGCGCCATTCACGCAAAAGCTGCTGAGAACATACACGAGATGGCGTGTCATTTTTACATTACATTACAGTTTCCATTCTAAGTTTGTTGTTCTATGATCCAGATGACAGTTTCAAAAGTCATACTTGAAGTATCGTTACTTAGCAACTTTAAAGCACGTGTGTTTTAAAGGCCTTTTTTCGCACGCATTTGAGTGTTTAAAACGGAGATTGTGATTCAGGTATAATAAAAAAAGTATAAATTGTGCACAGGTCTTGTGCAGATAAAGCGCATTTTTTAAACCGAAATAGCTCTTGTTTTGACATCGGTCATCAATGGATATATTTCTTGCAGACGTTTCAATCGCCCTTTGTGAGTACCCTCTTCCGACAACCCGTTCTTGAGGATAAGGGAATATACCCGATCACGATAAGAGTTCGAGGAGAAGAGCTATGGTTGGTAGAAATTAATTCCTTTCGTTGAGACATTTCATTAGAGTACCATGAAGGATAAAACTATTTCCACTCCCCCCCTAGCCCGTACTTTGATAAGAGGACAGAAAGAAGGGCAGTAGTTGGTAGAAAACGGTTCCTTTCGTTGAGACCCTTAATTAGAATACAATAATTTTTAAGCCCCCCCCCTCCCGGCCCCGTCGCTCACTGATCTCGAAAAATAGTAGCGTGGGAAAGTTATAGTCGGTACAAACCAATTTATTTCGATGAGACCTTTCATTAGAATAACATGAAGGGTAACACATGTGTTTACCCCCCCCCCCTACGCCCAGTTACTAAAGTTTAACTTGGCACCATTAAAGGCATACGTATGCAAAATCTGAGACCAATTGGTTGTCGTATGTAAAAGTTATGCACATTTTACTTTCAAAAACAACATCTCAGGAATAATTCGTCTGGCACACCTTCAAGGTATAGGCTACCTACTGCAAAAAATTCCAGGACTCAAGGACCATTCCCCTAGAAGTAGTTCAAAACGACAGAAGTGGGTCCGGACGGACAAAACGCAAACAGTAGCACATTTTTTTTAATTCTTAAAAAATGCGCTAAAAAGTATTTCGCACACATGACAAAGTTTAACTTGAAGAGCAAATTTAATTAACAAAATTCAAGTTTCAGTCATCTGTCATTCAAACACTTGTAAATGATAAAACTTTCATCACAATTTGTAATCTAACATTTTTAAGAACAAACTGTTATAAACAATGATAAAACACCCCCAGTTTCACAGAACTAAAATGTGTGATCACAAACAAGTTAAAAAGTAATCGTAAACAAAAATTTACATAAAGCGCATTTCCACTTGCATTCATTTCCTATTTGTAAGATGCAACTTTTGTTAAAATTGTAAAAAATCCGGCCACAAATATGAAAGATAGCGTTGCACATGTGTAATCCATTTTTGACGTGCTACTTCAATTTCAGTTTATAAGAAGAGTTTCATTTCAATGCTTTTCTAAATAAGAAAGTTGGAACTGCGCATGCGCAAACCTAAATTTTGAAGCTAACGTTAGATTTTCCTTTATTCCAAGTGGCTATGTATCGAATTTCATTTAAATCCCTCCATAAATAAGAAAGTTGGCACTGCGCATGCGCAAAACCAAATTTTGAAATTGGCGTTAAATTTGCTTTTATTCCAAGTGGCTATGTATCAAATTTCATTTAAATACTTTTATAATTAAAAAAGTTTGCAATTCGATTTATAAATGGTCGAGATGCGAAAAGGGCACTGTGAATTTTGAATCGATTCGACTCAACTTCTGGCATTGCGTATTTCATGCAATTCAGTTCATAACTAACGGATGTGTAAGCGATCGGACATTTCTAAACAAAGTTATCCTTCACACGGACAGATAGAGGGACAGACAGATGAAGGAACAGACGGACAGACCAACAGGCAGATGACACACAGCAATGCAAAATTATAAACGATCTCTAGGATCGTTAATAAACGGAAAAGTGTAAAATTATGAAACATGTAAAAAACGGTTTTTTTTACAATAACTTTTTTTGTAAGCGGTATAGAAAAAATTCCTTCCTTGGTGCAAGACTCGACACCATAACGAACCAAATAGCGAAAAAAGTAGAACAATAGCTCTTAAGATAAAAAACTAGTAGCGTCTCAAAACGAGCGGACGGACGGACGGACAAAGTGGGCACAATAGCGCATTTTTTTTTATTTTTGTGGAAATGCGCTAAAAATGATAGTAACAGAATCAACAGACCAAAACAGCACAATTGGTCTTGTCAGTCAAAAAATGCCCGTTCAACATACAAACAGAACGGAAGGAAGAAAAGTTTTAGTAAGTGCAGGTTTCACTGTTTCCCCCATACATTCTGGCAGGAGTGTACTTTGTGCATTTCCCAACTGTTGTGAGAAGATGCGTGCTGTTGTTTTACAGTAGGAAAAATTTATGTGCATGACAAGAATAATTTCAATTGATATCTTAGGACTTACTTGGATTTTGTAGGTTCCTGGGTTGTCACATTCGCTATAACAATAAAAGACAATATAACCGAACCATTTTTCTTTTTAAATTACTTACTTATTTCAACTTCCTCATCTTCATCTTCATCTTCCTCATCTTCATCTTCATCTCCATCGTACAAAGTATTGTTTACCAATGTTGAGATTATGAAATCCATCACTTCTTCAGGAGGTCGCTCGTGCTTATTTAGGTTTAGTCTTTTACATAGAGTCCTTATATATTTTATGGAAATATTTGAAAACATCTCCTGAATATGTTTATGCAGATGGAATGGCGTAACGTCTGAAATGATAGAAACTATTAGAATATGAAGGCAGTTTTGGCATGGGCATAAGTTTAAATAAGAAAATTTTTAATAACATAAAATGTGGTGGCACTAAAGTCAAATATTACCGCTTCACTTACAGAAAAATTTGCTATGTTAAATTGAAACAGAGCTAAAAGTGCTGCTATAAATGTTAAGGTCGGCATAACTATCAGCCATTCGCTTAGACGCCTTTTATAAATTAGGGCTTTCAACATTAGAACAGTACTACTATATGACTCGCAATTTTTTTATCGAGCGCGCATGCGCTGATCCGAAGCCTGCGATAGTTACAGGCTGGAGCGCTCGAAAGGTCACAACTTCCATTATTTCTTTTTTACTCTGGATCTGGAGTCGCGTCGGCGCGTTAAATCGTAAATACGATCCAGTCACGCTGTGCAATTAAATATTAATTATTAGTGATAGAAGTGTGGAAAATCCCGTGAATAATCAAGGGTAGCAAAAAAGAAGCAGGCGGGAAAAATAGGAAGATCGAAAAAGTATTGATATTAGGGTAGTAACGTATTGTACCTATGTATTTGTTTTGTGAATCGTTTAATTCATTGCAAAATAAAGCACTATTAAAATACCGTGTTTTACCAATTGTCGATGCTTTTTTTCAAGAAGTGATATATAATACAGATAAAGAGTTATTTAGCACTGTTAACCTGTAAAGAAAGTGTCAGGTGTAAAGCAGGGCCTGAGTGAGAAATTTTTACACCCATTGTACTGTAAGTAGAAATTTATATATTAGGTTTATTTTATTTTATTTTTTTTATTTTGGTTATAATAAGATAACGCGCGCTGTTTATCAACAAACCCAGCAATCGTAAATAACTCGTAATAATGGAAGTTATACTGGAAAACATTAAATTCCAACTAGAAGATTTGAATAGAAGATCGGAGCGTATTGAAAACAAATTAGACGACTGCCAGAGACAAATTCAGGAAATGAAAAACGAGAATCGGGCTCTGAAATCCGAGAACGAAAAACCCAAAACAATGGTAACCGAACAAAATAAAAGAATGGATTTCCTCGAGAAAGATGCCAGGAAATATAATCTGATAGTCCATGGAGTAAAGGAGATGGAAAATGAAACCGATCTACACTTAAAAGAAAAGATACGAATCGTGCTAAGGGATATAGGTGTAAACGCAATCATAGAATCCGAAATCCAACAAATAGGACGCATTGGTAGAAACCAAGCGAGAAAAATCGGCCGATATTTATGAAATTGAGTACGTTTGAAGTAAAATTGCAAATCCTGAAGATGACAAAGAATTTGCGAGGCACGGACGTGTTTATAACGGAGGATTTCCCTAATATAATATAATATAACCATGTAATTGAGCAAAGAAAATTACTGAACCCCCATATGAGAAAAGCAAAGGAAACTGGGCATCGTGCGTACCTAAAATTTAATAAATTAATAGTAAATGGAGAGGAGTACGGAGTGGAAGATCTATTTGAGGAGCATCAGGAAGGCGGTGAGGATATGGTTAAGAAGGGAAGAACCATAAGTCAAAGGTCACCGCAAGAGATATCGTCAAAGAGGACATTAAGTCTGGGATGCCTATCAAAAAACTGACAGGCATTTCTCAACAGATAGGAAAGACGACAACCATGGCAATGCGAAATGGAAACGAGAAAGGAAATAGGTATTCAATCAAACGTAACAAATATTATGAGAATAGGCAAACATCGGAAAGGGGGAAGGCGAAAACGGCAATTAATAGGGGTGCAGAACAGCAATTAAATCAAGATCAAAGACAAATAAAAATAGCAGGGAACGAAACATGGAAATTTGGGTTATGGAATACGCAAAGCCTGAACACAAAGGAGGACGAGATTATCGACGAATTTGAAAAGACAAACATGAAACTAATAGGACTAACAGAAACAAAAAAGAAAGGAGAAGGATGTATTAAGTTAAAAAATGGGCACTATTTGATTTTTGGAGGAGTAAGGAGACGGAGCGAGCACAAGCAGGGGTAGGTGCACTTATTCATAGGAATTGGTTTCACAAAGTGAAGTATTGGAAAGTAATAACAGATAGGCTGCTTAGGATTGATATTAATGATAATAGTCAATGTAACATGTGGTCAATTCTTATTGCATACGGCCCTACGGAAAAGGAGTGTAAGGAAATTAAGGATGATTTTTGGGACTGTTTGCAGGATGAAACGGACAGAGTGAAACAAAGGTGTATGATAATTGGGGATTTAAATGGCCGAGTAGGTATAAGTAATGAACAAGGGTATCTGGTGGGTGCTTACGGGGAAAGGGCATTGAATGGTAATGGGCAACGTATTATTCAATTCTGCTAATTAAATAATATGCGAGTATGTAATACTTTTTACAAACATAACGATATCCACAAATTTACCCGTGTAATGGAGTCCAGGAGAGAATAGTAGATTATTTTATGTGGAGGAGAAGTATTACTTTTCATGGCGCGCCTGTGTTTAGCCGCCGAACGAAGATTGAAAATAAGATACCAGTTATATTAACGGTTTTTATATTTTAATCAAGTAGGCTGTGATGAATTAAAAAAACAAAACAAAATCTAATCGAGCCAACAAAACAATGAAAATAATTACATCAGATGTTTAAAAAATCAGGGGCGCACTCATGAGAGGGGGGTTTGGACACTACAACTCCCTCCAAAATTTTATATAAGTAGGCCTAGAAAAATTTTGATTTTTATAACATCACTTATTGACTATCTTATTATCCATACTTACATACCTACAAATGGTGGTATAACTACAAACTATCCCCTCGAAAAAATGTCATGCCATTATACAGTTAAACACATTTCAAGACACTTCGCTTTATTTTACACAATGTATTACATTGTCCCAGGTCATATTTTGTAGGTGATTTATCCGCAAGAATATCGAAACTAACAGTTTTACCAGTCCGAGTATATGGACAGATGAATCTTATTTTTCTAACTGCGGAGTGCTCAAATCGACATAATGAACACTACACTCGTCACAGGAAAACCTACATGCTGTAGTTTCACGCCGAAATCAAGTAATATTTTTTTTAAATTAATGTATTGTATGGCATAATGGGAAGACATGTAATCTTCGTTGGATCTTTAACTGCTCACCATGATTTACAAATTCTCCAATAAACTTCCTTAAAGGATTTTTCTCGACAACGTATGTTTCGAAGAAAGGGTTGGTTTATGCTACCTACCAACAAGCTGGCTGCTCAGGTCACAATTCACGAATTATGTACAGTACATTAAATTATAAAAGTAAGTACTTAATTAAAAAATAAAAGTAAAGTGGAAGTAGCTACCACTACAATAATAATAATAATCATAAATGGCAACACGTTGCCTAAACTAAACTGTCTTGAAGTGTGTTTCACTAATAATGGCCAGTATTTTAAACATCTGGTGTAATTATTTTCATTGTTTTGTTGCCTCGAATAGATTTTTTTTTTTTATTCGTCACAGGCTACTTGATTAAAATACAAAAACCGTTAATATAATTGGTATCTTATTTTCAATCTTATGTTATGATGGCTCGTTGAAAAGAGAATTAAAAAATCTATCAAGTAATCTAAAAATCCAATATGGCGCCCATTTAACTTTAGGAAGTTGGTAAATGTTCCTCAAAAGTAGCCATCTTAAATTTTTTTTTGACATCAATTCTAAATTAAGCGTATCAAAGACAGTCACTTTTATATAAAACTTTTTTTTATATCTCTTATACTTTCGATGATATAATACATTCAAAGAAATGATCAATTTTAGTTTTTTTTTAATTTACGTCGAACCTATGCGACATTTTGAATTTCCATAAGGAAATTTTAAATAAGCATCCAAAACTGCAAAACATTGCCCATTTAACCAATTCTCTATCTTTAATAATAACAAAGTTACCCATGCAATCCCACGCGATCTGGGACACACTGTAGGTATATAAAATCAGAAATACCTACAAAAGAACCCTGCAAGCAAGAAATTGCAGTAGAAGCGCCTTTAAAAACAACAATCTGCAATATTTATCTCCCAAACCCTAATTGGAACTTAAATGATTTAGAAAATGTCCTGCACCAACTCCCGGCTCCATATGTACTTCTCGGAGATTTTAATGCACATTCAATAATGTGGGGGTCAGATTCAACAGATAGAGGAGGCCGTATCATTGCCATAGATCTTTCTTTCTCAACACCATCTTGGAAAGTACTTGACGATCTACAAGACAACGATCACTATCCAATTAACCTATTCTTGACAAATAAAAGAGCCGTTGAAATACGACCAAAGAAATGGTTAATCAGAAACGCCAAGTGGGAGCAATACTCTGAAATTCTAAACAAGTCATTATTTCAAAGCTCGGGCAATGTACCAGATATGGTTAAACAATTCATAGATAACATTATAAATGCAGCAACCGTTTGTATACCTCAAACTAGTGGGAAAATGGAACCAGTTCATGTACCTTGGTGGAATGCAGAACTAAAAAAGGTAATTTTAAACAAGAACAAGGCCCTTAAAGATTTTAAACGCAATCATAGGTACAGTTGAAAAACTTGTAGCGTTTAAAAAGGCACGAGCAGAATCACGCCGTGCAGTTATTCAAAGTAAAAAGCTTTCATGGGAAACCTATATAAAATCAATAAACCTTAACACACCCACAGCTGAAGTGTGGAGAAAGGTTAGAGGTATAATGGGGAAAACCTATGAGAAACCCTCAAGAGTACTAAAAATACAAGGTCAAACTGTAGAAGACCCCAAAGAAATAGCGGAAGCATTGTCTGTAAGTTTTCGTTTAATTTGCAACGCAGATCAAGACGTTAATCAAACTCCTCTCCCTTTTACGCGTTTTGAAGATCACATGCATAATTACAACAAACCTTTTACCATCGAAGAACTGGAAACCATAATAAAGCAAAAAACAGACAAATCACCTGGCCCAGATAATGTCACTTACGCTATGTTGCAAAATCTATCTCTTGTCCAAAAGAAAGACCTTCTCTACCTTTTCAACAAGATTTATCAAACTGGTATATACCCTCCACAGTGGAGAAGATCAGTAGTAATTCCCATACCTAAACCTGGTAGACATATCTGATCCTAAACACTATAGACCAATATCTCTAACGAGTAACATGAGCAAGATACTAGAAGGAATGGTGAATGAAAGATTAATGTGGTTTTTAGAAGATAATAGACAGATATCTAAGTTCCAAACAGGTTTCCGGAGGTTTCACTCTACAACCGACCAGTTAGTAAACCTACAACACGAAATGTTTAAAGGCTTTGCTAAGAGACAACATACGGTTGCAGTGTCCTTTGATATCTCAAAAGCATATGACACCATGTGCCGCCACAGTATAATCGAAAAGTTGCGTCAATGGAAATGTGGAGGCAACCTGGCAAACTTTATTCTATCTTTTTTGGAAGAAAGATATATTACAGTTAGGCTAAATCAGGTAGAATCTACATTATGTAAATTGGAGAATGGTATACCCCAGGGATCTGTCCTAAGTGTAACGCTTTTTCTCAATGGAATTAACGACATAATTAACTCCATTCCAGATACTGTACATAAGGTACTCTACGTAGACGTTTTATTGATATTTAGCAGTTCAAGTTCTATGGTGGAATTGGAAGGTCGAATACAAGAAGTAATAGATAACGTGGTGACATTGGCTGAAGATAGAAAACTTACTTTCTCTAGAGAAAAGACAGCAGGTATTCACTTCTGCCGCTTGAGAACAGAATACGCTGAACCACAACTATTTATTAAAGGAAAACTGATTCAAATAAAAAACACGATAAGCCTTCTGGGAATGATTTTCGATAGGGGAATGTACTTTAGGGACCACATTGAATATCTTAGTGCGAAGTGCAAAAGACGGCTAAATAACATTAAATGTATCGCTAATATAAATTGGGGCGCTGAAACAAATACACTCCTGGTGCTGTATAAAACGTACATACTACCTATCTACGATTATGGATGCATCATTTACCCCTCAGCTCGACCATCACATCTAAAAGTATTAGATAGAATTCATGCAAACGGTCTTAAGGTGGTACTAGGTGCTTTTAGAACGAGCCCACATTCACCGCTACATGTAGAATCTGGTATCCCTCCTTTGTATCTGAGAAGGAAAAAGATCCTTACTAACTATTACCTGAAAGTTTTATCGCTCCCAGAACATTTGAACTACCAAATCACTGCCAGATTATTTCATGCAAGACCTACCATGTGCCAACCAAGTACTGCTAGGGCCATATACTTTATGGATACAAATATCCCTAATCAACCTGATGTATTCCAACATCATATTTCGGAATACCCACCATGGGTAATCAGACAGGATGATATTATACTAAGCCTTGAAAGATTTCCTAAGGATACTACACCGAATAAAGTATATCAAACTTCATTTTATGAAATTCAAAACAAATTTTATGATTACCGAGCCATATGCACAGATGGATCTAAAACGACAATAGGTAGGTACTGGAAGCGCCATTCATACCTACGGAAAAACATACTCCTGGACAAGGATGCTATATAATATAAGGATTGCTCGATCCCTATACTTGTAATGTTGCCCGCGTTTAAGTCATATGTGACGTCACCAACGGACCTGGCTGTCAGAATTGACAGTTATAATTTGCTAAGTTGTCAACATTTTTGCATTAGCGTTAAAACTGTGTGTATTTAGTGTTCGCTATATTGCAACAAAAATGCTTGGACGCCGACGTGCAATATTGGACTGTAATAATAATTTGAGGTAGTATTCACATTTTACACTCAACTGGTGCTAATTTTAGCCAGTGTCAAACGTCAACGTCGAGAAATCGATATTTTAAGATGGACAAAGTTTAATAAACTGATTTAGCTGCAATTTCCATGGATGATGAAGAGCAAAAAAACCGAAAACGCAGGATGAGATGGGTTCACGACATTTATGTGAAAAACCGAAGGAGAATTTGTAAACTTGTAGACGATGAATGACAAATGTTTCTAATTTAAATACCTACCTACAACATCCACTTGGACGTATTAGATCCCCTTCTTACCAGGCGTTTTTTGAAGCGGCTGGTAGCGTGACCACTTCACACAATGCGATTTGCAGCGCCACAAGTGAAGCGATTTTCAGAAGCGCCTTCACGCAACAAAAGCGCACATACCAAGAAAGGACGTCGTTTTTTTAAAAAATGGTGTCTGGTTTGAGGAGAGTTGATTTACTTGTGTATCATTTACCTTAGTGAAGAGCGTACATATTTGTGTACTGATATTTTGTATATAAAGCTAGGTTTGTTATGTTTAAGATTGTTATTACTGATATGTGGGGGTTGTAGTTCGACCTTTGAAGGAAGGCGAAGCACTATTAGGCTAAACACTTCATATTGTGTGGTAAAAACCATTGTAGCACGGTGTTGAAAACTGCAAAATTATAACAGAAATTGTACATCAGAGACTTGTAATAAATTTCAGTTCTTACTCATCTGAGAAATAAAGCTAATTTCTCATCGGGAGGAATGGATTTCCGCATAACCTATCTTTTTTTCGAAGAAAAGTTCCATTCTGCAGCGTTTCAAAAAAGCATCGTGAGAAGGAGCTCTTAGAATCAATAATATAAAATACAAATGAAAGTGGTGCACAAATCGAAAAATCAAAGCATGCGGTGCGTCGGGGTCCGCTATTGACGTCACTACACGCGGCGAAAAAATTCAGTGATCGAGCAATCCTTATATTATATAGCATCCTTGCTCCTGGACTTTACATAAACAGGCAAGTGTATTTACGGCCAAACTTTACGCAATCTGGCATGTGTTATTGACTCGGTTATTGATGTGTTCTCATAGCCATGGAAACAAAGACACATGGCAGACGGAATGGAATAATGTAGATACTCACCTAAAGGAAATCATGCCAATCATTATCCCATTGGAAAATAAGTACTACGGAAGTAGAAGGGAACAAGTTGCGTTATCAAGAATAAGAATCGGTCACACAAACTTAACACATTTACATTTATTAGGAAACAGCCCACAACAGAAATGCAACAAATGTGATATCTATTTGAGTGTCAGACATGTTCTTTGTGAATGCCCAACGTATAACATACAGAGAATAATGCAAGTAGGTATACCAGAAACGGAACGAGAAATTTTTCGTGATGAGAAGTGTGCAATAGAAACTTTAATGGAATATTTAAAAATAACGGGGCCAATAAAAAGAATTTAAAGGCAAATAGTTACAGTGATTAGTTAAGAAATAAAGGCAAATGACCATAACAGTCAAACCTTTAAAAAAAAATATGTAGTCCATTTAAAAAAACATAAGTTTGATATGCCACTGGAATATAGCACGGTACTGGCGATCAGAACTATTGTGCACAATTTTGCTTTTAATTATGTTCGATGCGACACCCCGTACACAGGGCTTTCATTTCAAAATGAACCACAGATTGTAATTTTTATAAAAAATCAAAAATTACAAAAACACGTCCTTTTAGATAACTTTTAGCATTTACCCCAAGCTACACCCACTTTAAAATTATAACATGCGCTCCCCACCGACCATAAAATTCTCTTCACAAACATACCCACATCAAATTTGGATGGTCTAGTTAGAATTAATTTAAAACAAGTATAAATTGTGCACAACTCTTGAGCAAATAAAGCACATTTTTAAACGGAAACATAAACATTTGATGACCAAGTGGTGTAGGTCGCTCGAAAAGCAGAAAATTCAGTTGAGCAAACTGTTCAATAAGGCAAAGAAGAACAAAACTATAGGTAATTGGGAGGACTATGAGGTAAACCTAAGGCTATATAAGAAAGATATTAGGAGCTGTCAGAGAGTGGAGTTTTATACACTACCGTTTTGAAAAAAAAGCATTACTGCAAGACTGTTGAGAGCCCAAAACAAGGGAGGGACAATAATTAAAATAAATTTAAAAAAATGTCCCCAAGCCTTAAAGAAACAAATCAAGGGGAGTCAAGTCTGGAGATTGCTGTGGATCTTCTGTGCCACCATCTCTGACGTCCACTTAACTCTAAGATTGTGTTTGTCCACAAAACCTTGTATGGAAGAACTTGTTCAGAATTTTATGAATAGACCCAGTCCATTAGTAAGTATCGAAGCCACTGGAATTAGTGACATAGGATTTGCAGCAAATTGACCTGAATTTCGCACACTTCATTCTCTGCTTACACATAGTGTAATATTCTTTGAAACGTATAAAAAATAATAAACACGAATATTTTGCTAATTGGTGATATGAAAATAAACTCATTAAAATCTTTGAATTTGACTAACATACACATTTAAATCGTATTTAACAGTATTGGGGTAACTAAAATGAATAACGCAACTTACTATAGCGGATTCAGTTTGAAAAGAATACCTCAATTATAATTTAAAAGAATAGGTAAATAAATAAAGTTTTTATTTTGTATAATTAAACAATTAAATATCTATGAAACGTTTATGACTCCTTACCTTCTTTAGGTTGACTTGATTCTACCGCTGGAGGTGCGTCAACAATATCTAACCACTCAGCAACTTTATCTAAAACACTATCTGTATCTTTGCAATGTTTGATTGTCATAACTACCTCTGTTAGTGGCTGTAGGAAGCTGAAACAAATGCGAGACTTCATCAACCACTGATAATTCGGGCAATTTAGCATCATCTATTTTAACCACTGTTGAATTCTCTCGTGATTTAGATGTGGAAGGCTGATTTGTACCAAGCCAATCACATAGCAGTGGAACTTCAGGTGCCTTAGAAGTAGACGGCTGGTTTATATCAAGCACATTGTGGCGGGGTAAGGTAGTTTGCACTTTAGAGGTAGAAGGTTCACCAGCAGTAGAATACGAAACATCAAGTTCGTCTAAGGAAAAAAATTGTAATATGCAACAGAAGCTTCTCGGATATTACCATTTAATTTAACTTTTTTTGTCGGCGATTGACTGACAGAGTCCATATCATTATTGGCTCGCTTGCGAATTTTATTTACCCTTCTAAGTAGAAGTTTTATAATAATTCGAATGCGATTTTCTTCATTGCCTATAATTTCTAATAACTTTACAATATATCCTCTGTCGATTTGTGGGAAAATCTCTTTTATAATGTCGGCTTCTCGCTGACAAGTTGCACTATCTTGAGATGGAATTGATCCAAAATAGTCTCCTAAAACTAAATAACGGCGCTCTATTGGTTCCTTGTCTTCATGTTTTGTAAATAATTGCAAGATTGAGCCAAATTCCCATATATTTAGAGTGTTGGAGAGCTTCCGAGTTTCTTCTATTAAATTGTCCTAAAATTAAATTTTGGTACACGATGTAAAAATAAGAAATGAGACTATACCATCGATTAAAAATTTACATCATTTTACTTAACGAAACACACAAATAGATTTGATTTGAAAATGAAAACCAATGTCAAATGTCAAAGCCAAGGAGCTCTATGCTGTTTGTGGTTAACATAATGAACCTTCCTACTAGCCTTATAAAAAAACCGTGTTTACGCTGCATTCATAACCCCCCAATTAATGTTTATATTAATGAGTGAACGTCAACTTTACATAAGTAAGGCGTAAAGTCGAGGCCTACGATACTTACAGGCCGGAGCCATTCCGGAGCGCTCGAAAAGTCACGTGACCTTAGGAGGAATACATTACGGCTTATGGAAAATCCGTGCGCGGCTCCACTACTTATTTTTTTACTCCGGATCCGTTCAACATAGAGCCACGAAATTTCAATGAGAGCTTATCAATACTACATATAATGAAATTATGGTGTTCGTTAATTTTTCATAACACTGGAAATAATTAATTTTAAGGTTTGAGGGGTTCCACCCTGTATATACAACTTACGACGATGCAAACATTTTTGAGAGTTGACAACCACGCAATTTTTAGTAGAGGAAACCGATTTGCGCCATCTGAAGAGCACGAACGTGGATTACGTTTGGCATCTTGTCTTGAATGGCGGTCGTGAACGCGTCACACCATAAATGTTTGTTGGTATTGAGTACAGTGACTTTATAGA